GGTCAAAAGTTTCCAATTTAGCAAGAGGGCGCCATTCATGCCTTATTACAGAATTTGCACGCGTAAATCCCGGAGAACGCTATCTTGTGTTTATAAGATCTTTGCTAAAAACTCAACATATAAGACTGATTATGCAATGCTTAGTAAGGCATAACTGGGGCCTACCGAGCAGAAGACAAACTTAAATTTACAATTATACGTACTAGCAATTACTTCAGAATCATCGTCCGTGTTTTCAAAAAATGCAGTTTCTCCGTAATAATTTGGTGACCAATCTGGAGTCAGGTACAGAAGGAAAGTCCATTCCTCCTCATGATCCTCGCAGTCTTCGTGGATACGTGTGTGGTCTGCGCTACGTATAACATTGCATGAAATGTCATACGGAAACCATGTGTCTTTACCTGTGAAATTCAAAGAAAAACTAGATTTGAACTCGTCACTGAGGACGAGTTAGGTGATCCGCCGTACTTTGACCCTCACGAAGCACGCACGGTTCTGATTGAAAAATATTATATGCTAAAACATGCTCTATTTAAGAGTATTCAAAACCTAGGGAACAATGCTCTCTTGTACCTTGATCATTAGCACATCCTCTTCTGTAATTTACAGGCTAAACTTAATTGGTGGCCAGACCAGACTTTATCTAAATCCGCTTTTGAACAATTTATCAAACTTTACACTACATCACAAGAGTTCCAGTCATATCAATAACTTGTACCACAAATGTGACCCAAGCTCACAAAAGGGCTATAAACTCGCACCGCACTGTGTTGAGAAACAAGCCTCCATAGCCAGAATAGGACGTAGAACGTGAATTTTGTGTGAATTGGGTTTTTGTGTAATAAATAAGTATAACTATTAATCTTACTATTCCTGAAGTTTGAGTTTAAAATTAAAACTGTAAAAGGTAAAACTTAGCCAAAGGCATTTTTCTCAAAACTTGATTTAAGAAAGTTGGCAAGATTAATAATTATTCAAACGGTCATAATGCTGTCTCTTATACACATCTAGATGTGTATAAGAGACAGGTCTATAGCTGGGGCTGAGGTGCTCCATGGTGATTGTGTCCAAAAATGGCACTCACAGACTTAAAATTTGAATATAATTTTCTTTTTCTCAATTTTTTCATAGGAATTTAGGTTTGGAGGGACCATGCCAAATGTGTAAGGCTTTTATTATTATTATTATTTATTATTACTATTATTATTATTATTATCAATTTAACAAATATGTGAGACTTGATAGGTCTGCTTTATATTTGTAAAACTTCATACAAATATTTTGGGATTCTAGTCAGTAAGAAATCATATTACCCTTATCATTATCATCTTCATCATTGGCGCTGCAGATGGAAACACCATCATCACTTTCATTTCATCCTCATATTATTATCATGAATAAATCATCGCAATCCCCATCATTATCACCACAATAATCAACTGTTTTACCTGATGAGAATGAAGCCACTTGCTGTACAATGGGCCACATTCGGCTACGAACAAAGCCATCGACAGAAAATGCTGCGATCCAAACCACATTATCACTATCAAAATCAAAACTGTCATCATAATAAAAATCACCTAAAAATGAAGACGAACAAATTCAAAATGATTAAAAAATTTACATTTAGTTCAGATATATTTAAAAAAGGTAGTTATGTATTGCTGGCAGTTTATGTTGTCTTCATTGGGTGACGCATTTAAAAAAGAGAGATCAGCAAACAGAAATGAACCATAGACCTCCATGGTTCAGCATACAAACTGTACTGCCCTCTCTAGGCTATAAAAGAAAAAAAATGATTAAGATAAAATTATGATTTACCAAAGTTAAGTACATGGTGTTGTATTTTCTTGAGATCTTCTTCCAGAAAGAGGTTGTCAAAAACAAGAATTCTTTTACCATTTGCAGACTTGTATTGCTGAAAGGAAAACAAAAAGATGACACAAATATATTTTGTAAAACTATAAGATAAAAAAAAAAAATAAATATAAATAATAATTAAATAATTGTTGTACTTCTCTGTTCATCGAATATCAAAAAGAGAAAGTTTCCACAATATGCAACTTCTTACATGCAGACATTTGCTTTCTTGTGGAAGTGGGGGAGGCAGTGTTGATTTCTGGGAAACTCCAGCGACTCACAACAGTCTTGAGGTAGAAGAGGTAGACTTGTAGCATGTGACATGCCTAAATATAGTAATGATGACATCATATCATGACCATATATAGGCACATCATGGACAGAGCTTAATACATGTATCTGATCAAACAAATTATGTTTTTTTTTATCAAAATAATGCTAAAACTAAACAATCCTAAAGCAATATCAAGTTTTGTTACAATGACAAATGTCACAAATGTGTATTATTTGCCATAAAGTGATCCCTTAAATAGAAGCCCTGGGCTTCTTTTTTTTTGCCAGGCTTTTTCGAGATGGGATTCTTTTTGAGATGGGCTTCTCTTCGAGCAGTGGCGTATATAGAAATTTTGAAATGGGGGTGCTGATGGGGGGGAGCGGTGATCAGCTGAGGGGCTCTAATTTGCAAAATCTCCCCCCCCCAAGATACGCCACTGTCTTCGAGGCTACTTTTGCAAAGTAAAGAGATAGGCTTCTTTTCAAAATGAATGCTGTAAATTTTGGGAATTGGACTATAAAACAACAAATAGGGCCACTGTAACATCAATCCGTATCATGGAGTGTATTAATCTAAACTACTGTAAACCAAGTGTGTTATCTATTTTGTTTCTTTGAAATTCATGTACAGTGTATGTACTGTACTCTCGAAAAGAACCCCATGCTATGTATGGGATTCTTTTTGAGATGGAAAGTGGCACCTGGTCTTATGCATTTCCTTGACTTATGCACTATGTCACTTGTAGTTTGTCCTTGGCTTACTTTCACAAAATGTTCCCCAATGTTTTTCTGTGTGTTCTCTACCAATGGCATACTGGAAAATAATTCTACAGTGCTCTTTTTCTTAGCTTTAACTTCGGCCTCAAACATGGCTTGATTTTCTGCTATATGCGTTTGGTTGGTACTGAACTTGGCCACTAAAAACAATTGGCCTGCCCTAAAGCCGACACTAGGTGGCCTAGGCAAGAAACCTGTTAAAATGATAAAATGATATAAATTTTTAAGACGTATTAAATGTAATATTATGATAGGAAAATATATCATAAAAGGGCTGTAAACTCGCACTGCACATTGAGGAACATGCCTCAATAGCCAGAATAGGACGTAGAACGTGAATTTTGTGTGAATTGGGTTTTTGTGTAATAAATAAGTATAATTATTAATCTTACTATTCCTGAAGTTTGAGTTTAAAATTAAAACTGTAAAAGGTAAAACTTAGCCAAAGGCATTTTTCTCAAAACTTGATTTAAGAAAGTTGGCAAGATTAATAATTATTCAAACGGTCATAATGTTGCTTCCAGACACCCGATCGAGGTTGTTTGTCATTTTAAAGTAAATGATATGCTCTATGCCATTATAACAAAAATTTTGGCCTGAGGACGAGTTTTATAATCATGGGTGACATTTTTTAATACTAGAAATTTATCAAACAATATACAAGTTATGTAGGCTCTTCCTTGGTAAAACTAAAATTCAAAAAAAAAAATGCCAACCCAAGATTGTTTTAGATTTTGAATAAGTCACTCTCTTGTGTAGGACGCCCACTGCCGTTTATACTGTAGATACTTATATTACCCAGTAATCACTGCGCACGGTTTGTTTGTTTGTGTATCTGTTTTCCACATGACAGAATACTTTCATAGAGGGCAGTAAGTTTCCTTATTTTTCTTTAACATCATACATATCATCTTGCGCAGTGCAGTAGTGGGTAAATTACCTACAAACGACAGTGGGCGTCCAACACTGGCTGCATATTGCAAATCGTATTTTATACTCTCATAAAGCGTGGTTGGCTCTAATGTTCTATTTGTACTCTTTGAGAATAAGTAACGTAGAATACATTGGAATTCACATACCAATAGTGCTGTCGAAAACAAGAAGGCGGCCATACTTTGGCTTGATGCTAGCCAGCGCCAAGTTCTGATCTCTCTCATAGAATATAGCGTCTCCGTAGTTATCCTTTCGCCATATCTGATTCAGGTATATCACAGCTGAAAACTCACTGCCGACAGTATCACTACCAAAAAAAACTTTATTTGCATCTTGTCTGGAAAATTAAAAAATAAAATTGTTCACAATAAGAAACATTTGAACATGAGGCTTGTCCAAAACCAGCATCAGTGACCAAAACTAGAAAACTCAATTTTTAACATATTCAATTTTTAACATATTCAATTTCTCTACATTATAAGCTTTAAAATGATAGGTCACTCTGGAATTGACTTACTATTTCCTGATTAATGAGTAAAAGTATTATGGCTTTTCTGTACTAAAGTATACAATATTTCCACATTCTTTTGCTACAGTGTACTACTGTACGTTGGTTTTAGGATGGCAAGTCTCATATAGATATGCTATAATCTTACACTGCGGTTTAGGTTTTTTTTAATCTTGGAAACTATAAAATTTAGTTTATTTTTTTCAGTATGAAATAAATCCAAGGCAACCTACAAAAGAACTAAAGACAGTGGAAATGCTGACCACAATTGAATACCGCAATCAAAGTAAAGTGATGAGATTTGAGCCTGTTTATCATTTACTGCAGACAAAAATAATACATAAAAATCTATGGTTATACAGTAATTCGTAATCTTCATACAGTACTCAAAAAGAACTTAAAACAGAATGATTTTCGATGGTATAAATGGTGGGTGGTATGCACCTTTTATGTAGTAAAACCTGATGGACAAGCAGAGTGGTGGTAGTACTGTAATTCAGGGGCGGATTTCAGGGGCAGCCCGGCCTCGGCCCCCCCCTCTTTTGGGAGGTAAAAGAAAGAAAAAAGAAAGAAAAAGAAAAAAATGACAGCCCAGAACGCCTCAAATGTTATTTTCGGGCGTCTAGAACACAAAACTTTCGCGGCCCCTTTAGGCCATTGTTGTCTCGATCGGCCCAAATTTGGTCCCCCTTTCGGCCCCAACCCTTTTGGATCCGCCCCTGTGTAATTGAACCAGCAACCAAAATATGTGAAACTATCTGTAGTAAGGTTCAGCGCACACACAAAGCAACAATCAGTTTATATCGACGGATCTATGCTACTTGACTTCAAAAATTACATTTATAAGCTACAGTACTACTACCTTCTACCTGTTGACATAGTTCTTACAATTATTACCTAACAAGGTGTTACTGGATGATGTTCAGTAATCTGATTTAACCTACAGGCTATTCTAAAAACAGTGGTCAACAAGTATCATACCGTCTTACAATGTTGAGCTCAACATGGGATAATTGCATGTCCGTCTTTTCACTGACAGTTGCTACGACTTGTTGGAGTAACCTTCCAAAGCCTGTATCTGCTATCTTATTCGGGTTCAATGGTGCAGTCCATGGTGCAAAACAACGTACGTTGCCTTCTCTGTACCTGTGAGAATTGCGACCTCATGAGTTTTACTACAAAGATTTGAGTTAAGCAGTTACAGATGGCCAAAGGACTGGAGATTAAGGGTAGGAAATAAAATACTAGGATGGCAAAACTCCTGAGAGGGTAATGAAAAAGTTCCAAGATGGTAGAAAGCACACCAAGTAATTTATTTTAAAGGATAATTTGAAAGTGGAACAGAATTTGAATAGTGTTCTCAATTACATATAAACAATATATTTTGTTGAGGATTTGGGTCCAAATAAAAAATTTAATGTCTGTTAATGTGCACTGTTGTGAATAACTGTGACAGATTTTTTGGCTAAAGTTGACCTGTTCACTGTTTTTGGGTTGATTGCTGACCATGTACACAAAGTATTGAGACTTGCACTTACAGGAAGTCTTCCCACAATGGTCAACCTTCCACCAAAAAAAGTGACAATTTTTCTTTTTTTTTTTAATGTCTGGTTGACAGGTCTGTGTTTGGGGTCTACCCATACCCCCCATTGATTAGTTGACCAAGGCTGTAATTGCTTGAGGGTATACAGCAGTAAATAGAGATAATGTATGCAATCTGGGCAGACTCAAATAATGGTACAGGTGCTAGATAAATCTGAAATGTTGAAAAATCATTTCTGCTAGAAATAAACTACTGTACCAAATTCAGGTAACAAAACTTTTCAATAAAGCAAGATACAGTATTTTTGATTGCAGATTTTAATAGCATTGCCTAAAATGACACAGAGTAGTACTTTTCAGCTATGAATCTTTTTCCAATAGAAAAAAGCCTTTCAAAACGAAACAGAAAATCATCAACATGAAATGCAGTAGCAAAAAAAGGGGACATGGGCTTTTGGTCTAAAATTGTTTGTGCGTTCATAATTCAAAAGGAACATTTTGGTTACCTGGGGACCTCTAGGTGATTTGGCATGTAATGACTCATTAGAACACTCACCTCCATTTTGCTGCGATCATATTGAACCGCTCCAATAATAACAAGCTTGTTAAGGTGAAGACATCATCGAAAATGTGCACTCCGGTCCCACTCTTAGTTTTATAAACTCTCACAGGTTCAGGAATCGAAAGTCTTTCAAATTCAGAAAAGTTGCCACAGCTACTTGAACTTGGGTGCTTTGAGCTTTTGTGCTTTGAATTATTATCCTGTGTTACAGGCTGGCATGTCTGATCTTTCCAAGTTTCTTCTGATGACTGTTCACTAGATAGAACATCTCTGCTTAAAAGAATGCTGTCAAAGAGAATCGTGACCAGAATTCTTGATGGCAGCATGATCTCACCATTCTTTTCCACTTAGTAAACACTTATAAACCCTGATAGTAGACTAATCCTTTTCAAATCACACCAAGTATATACATTAGCTAGCTCTGTTGTTAGAAAAAAAAATTCATCTACAATTAGTATTATTAACATCAATAACATTCAAACAACAACTCAAAACACATATTTTCAATTATATTTTGCATAATAATTTGTATTTTTATTTACATAAATCACATTAAGGCTTTTAGAAAAAATGTGTTCAATCAAGATTAAACTTTTTTTTCAGTAGCTGGAAAAGCCAGTGTTTTTGTTTCCATATTGTTTTCCTATCTTTTTGCAAATTTTGTCCAAGCATAGGCCATATCAAGGATGTGCCTTTTAAAATTTAGTGACGATCTAGAGTGTGGTGTGGATGTGGGGATCAATTAAAGAATTTAAAGGCAAACACTCCACACCAGATATTTAAAAAACTGATCTGAATGAAACATTCGGAAAAGTAAGGAAGAAGTTATGTTTTGGCAATGATCCAGTTTTGGGTGAAAATTTGAAGCTCATCTAAATTTCTCAACAACAAAACAAAAACCGGATAAACAGAATAAAAAGAAACAAGTGAGATATCTGAAAATAAACCCTCTAAATCCCAACACAGGATTTATTTCCAGAGGGATCGTGTGTGAGGTGTGACTACGAGACCATTCAAAGGAAAACATTCCAGACCAAATATTTCAAAAACTGATCAACTGATCTGAATGAAACTTTCTGGAAAGTTTAACCAAGTAAAAGGAAGAAATTATTAAATTTTTGGTGTGAATTTGAGGGTCATTTACAATTCTAACATCCCAGATGTAAATATCTCAAAAACCTTATCTATGGATTTAAATTAAACTTTTAAGAATAATTTGTCATGGTCCAACAAAAAAATGATTAAAATTTGAAGCCGATCCAAGTAGGGTGTGAAATTGAGGACCATTCAAAGGGAAATGTCCCGGGCTAGATATAATAAAAACTGATACTGATTTGAATAAAACTTTCTGAACATTTAAGAAAACTACAAGGACGAAATTATTAAATTTTGGTGATGATCCAGATTCAGGTGTGAATTTGAGGGTCATTTAAAGTGCTAACGTCCCAGACCTAAATATCTCAAAACTCACAATAGATCTAAATGAAACTTTACTTAGGCCTATGGTTTGCCATGATCCAATATTTAAAGGAAATGGAGTAGGGTGTGAACATGAAGGCCATTCAAAGGGAAACGTCCCAGACCGGATATCTTGAAAACTGATCGACTGATCTGAATGAAACTTTCTGGAAGATTTAACCATGTTACGAGGAAAAAAATATAAAATTTGAGTTTTCTAAAGCGTTTAAACCAGTTGCAGCTAGGTTAAACGCAAAAGTTACCATGAAATGCATGAATGATTTTTGCTCTTAATCAATGAATGAACTAAAAATGCTCTGACCTACACAGGGTCAGTTCATATAGCGTGCAATGGTTTGAGTCACCATATAACCCTCGCTATTACTATTGTAGCTATAGTTCGAGTCGGTATGGTTGCATTCAGTTCCAAGCTTTTTTAAAAAAATTTTTTGGCCTTTTCTGCGTTGATGGTGCGGACTATGGCGTTGCTCTCCATAGAATCATGAAGTGAGTGCATGGCTTCCCTTAGAAATTGCCAGGCACCACACAAATTCAACAGAAAATTTATGCACAACAGTTAAACAAGGAGGGATGAGTACAGATACAGTGGCTTCCCTCAGCCTCAGTGTCGAAGGAGAATAGGCCTAGCCTAGCCTACCTACCACCTAGGTAGGCCTAGTTTGCTAGCCCTGTTGCATTACTGTACTACCCGGAATTTAATAGCACTATATCCATTTTGCACACAATAACAAGCTTAGTTAATATCATAACATTGAATTTAACTACATAATTGTAAATACTCAAGCGGCCATTGGCTGACGTCAAGGATCAAACACTTAGTTTTGTTTTTGTCGGCTTCTTCCTTCTTCCAAAGATACTACTAGAAACACAAGATAGAGTTCTCCC